GCGAAAATCCTCTAGCAACGCTAATAGGGCGTGGTTTACTACGGCGAAAATCCTCTAGCAACGCTAATAGGGCGTGGTTTACTACGTCGATACGTATCTAAACCTTTTCGCATCCGCGTTCGCGCGTGCGCGGATTCACCTGGTCGATACGTATCTTTTTCTTTTCGCAGATTCGAATATTCCGATGGTTCCAAAACTATGAACAATGCCTAACGGCGACGCGGCGCTGCATACGCAAGCACCGCTGGCGACTGGGTGGAGCAGGTAAGCTGCGATGTGCTGACGGTGGTGCTTAAAGTACGTGAATTATATCCGTGGTTTTAGGTCTATTCAATACTTCTTGGAGCAGAATTATACGGAAGGAGAGCTTTATGCCACCACTTGGGGTGATGCCTGGGGATCCGGCTCGGTACTAGACAGCTACAGCACAATGCATACTTGCAGTAATCTGCTATTCCTTCGAAGGTTACTTTATGATTAAGAACTATTTTAAGAAGCAGACATGCTTGAAAGATTTCAGAAAGATGCTGCAATTCTTATTGACTAAAGACAGGAGCTGTTGGAGGGTTAACTTCTGTTGTTCCCTGCCACGGAGTTTCGAAACTTCTTGTTTGATCGCTTCATGGATTGACAATGACCCCAAGCCCATAAGATCTGGGATTAAACCTACATTTGTCTAGTTTCTCTGTAAGGCACAACAGCAGACACGGGAAATACGTAGGCTTGGGGCATTAGTGTGGAATCCTGACCATGCGCTTGGAAGAATCTATCATGAATCAAGTAGGCTCCCATGTTATTCCCAGACGATAGCGGTCAGGCAGTATTTTTCAACGTAAAGGTATATTAGGCAGGTACCAGGATATGGATAGGATAGAGTAAGAGGGGAGTACTGAGACGCTTTATGGCGTGCTGGCAGGAAAATTACTGACAAAGCTACAAGGGAAGGATGGTAGGTCGAAGTGGCCGTTCGAAATGAGATGTATACCACCTGATGCGTCTCCAGACGCTGATTCCAAATCTGCCTTCCAAATCTGCTAAACGATTCTCCGAACGGAGTTATGAAGCGCAATAGCTCAGTGGTGATGCTGACAAGTCAGCCTCTGCTCCCGCATGACTGTTCTTTTCGCCCGAAGCGCAAAAAGAATCCGATATTCGTTATCGGGGTGCCAAGCTTACCTCATAGAACAAATTTTCGAAAATCTGAAATTTTGACCTAACCTGAAAAGTTGACGAGGAGCAGTGGCTAAACTTGTCAGCAACTGCTGCCAAACTCTTCGTGCAGGTAATTCTAGGTAACTATTGATGAAATAACGTGTATAAAGTTTTCTCAGAAATGTAGCAGATAAAAGCAAAGGAACAAACTCGCAAAGGAACCGATCCTACGAGCTTTTACCTGCCACCCGGACCATCACCACTGAGCTATTACGCTTCATAACTCCGTTCGGAGAGTCGTTTAGCAGATTTGGAAGGCAGATTTGGTTGGAGACGCATCAGGTGGTATACATTTCGTTTTGAATCTCTTTCATCGCCACTTCAAACTACCATCCTTCCCTTGTCAGTAGAAAGTGTCGTATAGAATAGAAGCACTTCGAAATGAGTAGCTTCAGTGAGAAGACATGGTACCTCCAAGAAAGTAGGCGTTGGGAACTACTGAATTTCCCTTGGAATTTTATATCTTTTAATCTACTGAGAAATCCAGCTTAGCAACGGTGGACTGTTCTTGTGTAAACCTTTTTTGTAAAGTGATTGGAAACTACTCACTCGGGGGCCGAAGGAAGGGGGAGGGGGCGTTTTGCGGGAGCTCGTTCCCCGAAAATCAAAATTTCAGCGAAATCAATGATGTTATCAATTCGAGTATTCATAAAATCCTTAGTTGAAGGTTCATCGAAGCTGTGATACAATACACCGGTGCCAAAAAAGTCGACGTCATTGCTCACTCAGTCGGCGTCGTTCTAGCCAGGTAATTTTGAAATCGGTTTCCGTGAGACTACGGTTAACAGTTCCCATGTCCGTCTTTCTTGAAACCTGGGCATTCTTCATGAGTGTTTGTTGTTAGTGCTGTGCCATACAGGTTTTTTAGGTGGAATATTTATTATGCCTGACGTTTCGACGATTTCGTCGTTATCAAAGGCCTGAAAGCATATCGAAACGTCTTGTGATGTTGCCGTTCCGCTCATAGCTGACCCACTCCTACTAAATGTAACAGCTCCCCCGCGCGACTACGCGCGACTACGCGCGACTCATAGAGCAGAAGTTCGAATAACGGTCAACTCACCTTAATTCCACCAGGACGGGCCGCTCAGCTCCGCGAGTCAATGAGAAAGTGAGACTGACCGCTTGTGTGCTGCTAGCAAAGTGCGCACGTGCCGTACGTTACGTTTGCCTAATCAGAGCTCACAAAGCGGAATGTATGGCAAGAAATCATCAGTTATGGAAATGCACTCATTCCTGTTATTCATACTCGGATTGCGTTGTTTTATCCAGAAGGCCTCGAGAGTTTTCCTAGCACCGATATCACTCTCGTACGCCAGAATCGTGCACTTAACGTCAAAGTCACAACCCGCATGACTTTCCCTCCTATGTTTGCCAAGCGGTGCGGTCAAACCTTCCCTTCGTTTACTAGCCAGATGTTCTTTTATACGTACACCCAACTGTCTCCCAGTTTCTCCAATGTACAAGGCGTTACATGTTGAGTTACATGTCATTACATAACATCAAGGAGTTACATGTCATTTCACTTGGAAAACCAACGATCACCGAGAGATCAAGATCAGTCATCACTCCAAGGCACGCTGGAACTTTAATGAGCTCTGCTGAATACGCATCAAGGCGACCAGTCTATATGAGCCTGATGTCGCGGGTCAAAAATAGTGATCAATCCGTAAGGGAGTATCTCATAGGCTGTGAACGGGAACGGAAAAATATGCACGACCCCCGGGGTGCCATCTATTACCCTCGCCCTAGACCTGGCCCAGAATTCAGAAATCACAGTGTTCTGTATTCCGCCGAACAGCAGCATGCCTTTCGCCTGATATCCCGCGTTTCCATACTCTATTGGTCAATGCTGGATTCATAGGCTGTGAACGGAATCTTTTGAGCGAAAACGGTACATGCGAACGGGCGACCGTGTGCATACGTACCGTATAAGTTCGAAAAATCCTCGTTTATCGCTTCATTAACTGCAAAACCCATTCAAAACAAAGAATAATGACTTAGAGCCGTCATAAAGAAACTTTATAAACCTCACCTGATCTTGGCAAGTATATCCTGGGTAGAGACCATCGAGAGCGTTACACCAGGCGGGTACCGTCTGCGCTAGCTGACATACACAGAGGCCTAAACAAAAATTCTTTCATTAAAGAATCCTCGGGATGAAGCAAGGTTCTCCAAAGCTACACACACGCGTTTCGCTCAGTCTTCACCTTCCTCTACTGCATAGTACTTTGTAAACAGGGAGGGGTAGGGGGCATAAAAGTCACTTCCTCTCACATTCGGAAAGCAATTAATTACGCGTTGCGAAACCAAACCAAATGAGCCCAACTGAATATTGAAGAGCACATTCTAATCTATCAAAATTACATAACAGCCTTCTACACCGACGACATCAGAAGATTTTCCCACGGAAACATGGTTCACGGTACGAGCTCAACGAGGTCGTCGAGGTACCATAGACCATTACGACGTCCCTGAAACGCTGGTCAAAAGCGGTCTTGCACAGTCACAGCTAGTGTCTCTAAAAGCTATTCACCAGTTAATCGATTGAAGAAATTATGTAGCAGCTTCAGGCCGGAGCGATTACGGTAAGCCTCGTTGAGCTCGACGGTGACGGCAGATGACGTCATATTCTGAAGACGGTGGGGGCAGTGAAGGAGGGCCTGCTTCTGCTTATGGGGGGACACCTAAGGAATATTCTGCCGTAAAACATTCATCAACAACGGCATCCTGTGCGACGAAAATTTGATGATGTGCGCCATGGGCGAAGTGGCTCTTTTTGTGCTTCCCCCTGTTCAGGAAATTTCTCCACAAATTGCCCTCGCAAAAAAGTGACCGTAACACATGCTGAAGGCTTGCAGGGAAAGATATCGGCTACTAGCCAGGGGAAAATGCCAATCTGTTCCGAAAAGGGTGATCCAGTAATGACATGCGCAGTTTATCACTTGCAGAATTCAGTCGCACCGTTGAACAAAAAAGCCACCTTTCTCATAGGATCAGCCTTTTCAAAACTTCATAAAAAGGAAGCTTATGAAATGCTGCCTCACCGTAGTTTGGTCCAGCTATGCCGACGAAGGTGTCAATTTTGGCTGTGAGAGGTGCACCAAGTGTACAGTTTCCATCAGTTCCTACCAGAGTCAACCCTGCGTTGCGCAGTTCTCAACGGCCACGTTGCGCAGTTTCGCCCGATTAGACACGTTCTCTCGCGCGAACATTCACACTCGCATGCTCGAGCCGTCTGTGTCTCCGCCCATACAGCGTGCGTTGAGGATCTCTCAACGTGCCGTTGCGAACTGCGCAACGCAGGGTTGACTCTGGTTCCTACCAGAGAACCTCCTTTGAGAGCTTTTCTGAAATTTAATGTTAGTTGTCTATTTCTTTCTGTCTATTGCTATGGTTTCGGTCTCTCTTCAATAGAATATTAATCGTAGTCTAACGGAAACCTTTGAAATTACCTGGCTAGAACGACGCCGACTGAGTGAGCAATGACGTCGACTTTTTTGGCACCGGTGTATTGTATCACAGCTTCGATGAACCTTCAACTAAGGATTTTATGAATACTCGAATTGATAACATCATTGATTTCGCTGAAATTTTGATGTTTTCGGGGAACGAGCTCCCGCAAAACGCCCCCTCCCCCTTCCTTCGGCCCCCGAGTGAGTAGTTTCGATCCTACGAGCTTTTACCTGCCACCCCGGACCATCACCACTGAGCTATTACGCTTCATAACTCCGTTCGGAGAGTCGTTTAGCAGATTTGGAAGGCAGATTTGGAATCAGCGTCTAGGAGACGCATCAGGTGGTATACATTTCATTTCGAAACGGCCACTTCGACCTACCATCTTTTTCTTGTTAGTAACGGTGGACTGTTTTCGTGTAAGCCTTTTTTGTAAAGTGATTGAAACTATC